CTACCGTAAAAGATGAAATAGACAAACAAAAAGCGTCCTTCAACGAAAAACTCTCTGTGCACCCCAATCGCCTCGCAAGAGGCTTGACTTGGGTTTCCAGCCGATCCCGTCTACAACGCAACGACCTGCCAAGCCAGCTATAACTTTCATATGACTGTGAGTTAGATTAATTAGTCTAAGATTTAATAAACTTATTGTTAGTATCCAAAGGGAGAAGATTCAATATATAAACAGCAAAGCATTTAAAAAAAAAAAAAAAAAAAAATCTGACAGATCAAATGTGGGATTCCCCTTTTTGACAAGCACACCATGCGTATGACACAAGTACAAAGGCATTAACGCGATAATTGACAGGAAACAAATATACACCGATATTTTGCAATCGTGTAAGAACGAGGTTTTTATAATAAATAATAGCTACGGCTTGGTAGTGTTTAGAACTACCTTCATGGTTTGAATACCTCATACGCCACTGAGGCGGATTGTCGCCCCGAATCAAAGACTTTAAAGTGTCTAAAGGTTCATCCCACTTATTTTAGAGATTTGTTCATACACTTCGACGGCGGGGGACGTGACTCTCTGTTCGGAGAGTTCTTTAATGTTTACTTTAAATAAATAAATCTTTGTGATTAGGTGCTGTCTGTACAGCTACCACAACCGGTTCATAGATCAGTTGACATTTTATACTCTTCTGAATTTGTATCTTTTGTAATATTAAACATCTAGTAGGCATTAAATAGCTCCCCGTCTGATTCCTCGAATGAATAATTTTCAGAAGTTTCCGTTTTTAATGTACATTCCTCTTTCTGGCTGCCATCGGGATCTAATTTCCTATCTCTCCGCTGAGAGAATATTGATTTTTCAGAATTTTACATGCATTTTGCACAAAAACACTATAATTTAGTTCTCAATTCACAGATAAGACGGATAAAAGTTATTTTCATATTTATTATACCCGTTACTCGTAGAGTAAAAGGGTAAACTAGATTCGTCGGAAAGTATGTAACAGGCAGAAGGAAGCGTTTCCGACCCCATAAAGTATATATATTCTTGATCAGGATCACTAGCCGAGTCGATCTAGCCATGTCCGTCTGTCCGTCTGTCTGTCCGTCCGGATGAACGCTGAGATCTCGGAAACTATAAGAGCTAGGCTATTGAGATTTGGCGTGCAGCGCAAGTTTGTTTCAGCAATGTGCCACGCCAACTCTTACGCCCACAAACCGCCAAAAACTATGGCTCCTACAGTTTTGATGCTAGAATAAAAATTTTAGCTGAAATGTATTGCTCTCATCAATACCTATCGATTGACTCACTCTTACGCCCACAAACCGCCCAAGCCTGTGACGCCCACAGTTTTCATGCTAGACTAAACATTTTAACTGAAATGTATTGGTCTCGTCAATACCTATCGATTGATCCAAAACAAAATTTGCCACGCCCACTCTAACGCCCATAACGCTTAAATCTGTTTACCGCCGGTAGGTGGCGCATTTTAATCTCGCTTTGCTGCTTGCATATATCCATTTAGCTGAGTAACGGGTATCTGATAATCGATGTACTCGACTATAGCGTTCTTCCTTGTTTTGTATTTATTTTGTATATGAAAAAATGTTTGTATTCTTAATATGATAATAATTTTTTAAAGCAATTCAAGAATGGAGTAAATATTTCACGAAAAGTACACATACATGATTTCCATTTATCGCGTAATGTTTATATTTGCCCATTAAATAGCGAGGTCCTTTTCTTCTCCACAAGGGTCGTCTTTTTATTCCCTTGCAGAGGGTATTATGATTTCAGTCAGATGTTTGCAACGCAGTGAAGAAGACGTTTCCCAACACATAAAGTATATATATTCTAGATCAGCATCACTAGACCTGTGGGAAAATAATATGAAACAAATTATAGCTTCGGTGTTTTTTAACCTACGCTTGGAAATAACATTTTTTAAATAGTTTTGAATTTTGAATTTTATCAAAATCGACGACTATATCATGTAGCTGCCATAGGAACGATTGGAAAATTGGTTGGAAAATAATATGAAACAAAGAAAAGCTTCGGTGTTTCTTCAAATATTATCTTATACTATGGGAATATCATTTTTTGTATTTTTAAATTTAATAATTATAACTGCAAGGGTTCGTTCGTTCTTGGAATTTTCTACTATTTAAGCGATAAAGTCACACCTCGCCCCATCATTATTGTAATTCGAGCCGGATTTCAATATCTTTGGATTTTCCTCCTATGGAGTTTCCTTGGTTTTTTGCCCAGCAGCAACGGTGGCTCGAACCGCTTCAGACCACTTATCATTATTATTTGCCGATCATGCAGCCAGTATTTCAAATACTATTTAGACTAACTTTCTGTTTGTTTTTTATCGTTAATCCAAAAGTGTATTTCAATTCCGTTAATTGTGCCCGACAATATTTCAGTTTCCTTTGCCCACAATTGTACACTTAAAAAAATTCCAGTAGATATTACAATGCTACTACCCAACTCATATATTCCTCAAATATATTTTTACCCGTTTCTTTACTCTACGAGTAAGAGTATACTAGATTCGTCGGAAAGTATGCAAAAGGCAGAAGGAAGCGTTTCCGACCCCATATATTCTTGATCAGGATTACTAGCCGAGTCGATCTAGCCATGTCCGTCTGTCCGGATGAACGCTGAGATCTCGGAAACTATACAAACAATAATGGGATTAGGCATGCCAATTCCTGAGATTCCTGCGCAGCGCAAGTTTGTTTCAGAAATGTGCCACGCCCACTCTAACGCCCACAAGCCGCCCAAAACTGTGGCTCCTCCAGTTTTAATGCTAGAGTAATAATTTTAGCTGAAACGTATTGGTCTCATCAATACCTATCGATTGACCCCAAAAAAAAGTTTGCCACGCCCACTTTAACGCCCACAAACCGCCCCCAAACTTCTAAAAATCGTAAATATGAACGCGGATATCTCGGAAACTATCAAAGATGGAGAAATGCGATCTCAGATTTAGATTCCGTAGCCCTGTACGCAGCACAAGTTTGTTACGCAAATATGCCACGCCCACTTTAACGCCCACAAGCCGCCCAAGCCTGTGGCGCCCGCATTTTTCGTGCTAGATACAAAATTTGAACTGAAATGTATTGGTCTCGTCAATACCTATCGATTGTTCCACGTCCGCTCTAACGCGCATAACGCTTAAGTCTGTCTACCGCCCACATAACCACATATTGAGATCACGGTTAGGTGGCGCATTTCAATCTCGCTTTTCTGCTTGCATATCTCGATTTCCCTTTGGTCCCATTAGCTGAGTAACGGGTATTTGATAGTCGAGGCACTGGACTATAGCGTTCTTCCTTGTTTCTTTTTGGGGTCTTCTTTGTTGTCAGGGCAGTTAGCCGAATTGTGGAAGTCTCCACAAGCTACACAAACTGTTCGAAGTGAACAGTATGCCCTGGTGTGTACATACTCCTGACAATTTGTGCATTGCACTGGGCCGTTCCTTTTATAATGTTACTGACTGCAAAGAACAGAAAACCCTTTTTCCTTGAGATCATCGATAACTTCCTTGGCGGTTACCTCGGACTCGATTCCTTTTATTACCACTTGCAGGCCCTTGCTGCTTTTTAGTTGGTACGTGACGTGTAGTAGCTTTTCCTAGCTTCCTCCAGGTATTTGGATACAGTTCTGAAATGTTCTTCAGATTTGGTCTGAAGCTTGGTTTCATGGATATCCCCTTTTGTGACCGGAACAACATGAAAGTTTCCGTCCCCGGGTAGCGCAACAATTTTGTTGAGGCGTTCGAGATTTTCTCCCCAATGTAAATTGGTGGGGGCTTTGGTTTCGGTTGGTTCTCCTGAGCCATTTCTGGTTTATTTTCATCTAGAAGCGCAAATCTATTGCTTTTGGATTATTTTTGACTTGTTACCTACCGCGGTGTTCTGCGGGCTAAGCTTACGCTTGATATGGATTTACCGATCTAGTCCGGTCTGTATGGCCGGACCCGCTTGCTTAATTTTGTTTTGATTTTGATGGTTTCGTGGTTTTTGTTTCCGTTGAATTTAGAGCTGCGGTTGCAGTCGATTCCGAAGTAAAAGCCGTAGCTGTGGTTGATGTTGTTTTTTTTTTTGCCGTAGCTGTAGTTGTTGCTGACAAATTTAGTGCGGATGCAGAAGTTTTACCGTTGCATGTTGTTGGTGCGCCAGGGGTCGAAACTGATGGTGTGGAGTGGGGTAGCCGTAAGTAAGAATGGTAAGCAAGATCGTGCTCCTTGGCTATCGACCGACAGTAGTGTCGTTTTTTGCACTTCGCTATCACACGTTGAGACATACGAAAAGTAACCGTCTCTTCGGCTCGCGGAGCTTGGTCGCTCTTTATTTTGTTCGTAGCTCATTGAGCTTTTATTAGCGTGGCACTTATTTACTATTATAAGATAAAATAATTATGTGCTGGTTTAAATTGGTTAGGGTTTTAGCGTCTTTTCGCTTATTTGAAATTAACCAGTTTAGTTTTTGTGTTTTGCTTGCATTTAGTTTATCAATTTTCTTGCACTTTTCGCGGAGCTCGCACGAGACACCTCCGCTCTCTTCAGAGAACAATGTTGTTATTCACAACTTGAATCGAAAAAGATATATTTTATTAAAACGTCGTCTCAGCAGTTCAGAATCCGCGTCGGAAAATGAGAGTAAAATCGAATTAGTCGCAAAACTAAAATTTATGAATGGATCGGAGCCTGAATGTATCGAACTTTGGGAAGAAACTTATGATTATCACGCAAAATTCATTAACAAAAACTCAAATAATCTAAATGATATAATTGCTACCTTTCCAATTTTTAAGCAAGCGAGCGCCAGTTACTTTGAAGTCATATTTTTTTAATGCAATCCTTTTGTTTTGTTTGTGTTGTTTTGTATATTAGTTGTTGTGTTTTCTGTATATTTTATGCCTTTATAGATTTCATGCTTATTTTATTTTATTTTTTTACATTTTTAGATAGGTATTGACTTCGACAAACGATTCCCAGGGAAGTCCTACACGCTAATGACTTTATGGAATAAAACCATTGAAATACTAACTGCGTTTTTCGATGGAAATCTTAAAAATGCATATTATATCAGCTTATTTTCCGAAATTAAGGATGGTGCGTATGTCGTTAAGCTTTTTCAATTAAATCTAAATTGATTTTAGAACATAAAATGTTAAATACCATACTAATTTTAATTTTCTTCTCAGATGTCAAAAATTGCGCTTTATTTAAATGGCTGCACTGCATATTAAAGCCGACTGTGAGGAGCTGCAAACAATCAAACCCACAAGTTCATGTGCCTTCGATTCAAGATTCGATTAACATTAGAGTTATTGAAATAGGCCCTATTAACAATGTGCAGGAGGAGAAGGAACGGAAAAAGCGCAAGTCTGAGATAGACAACATTCTAGTACAACGCTATATGGTGGTGGTTGATGAAAACGATGACGAAGATCAAGAGTTTTTTGTTTTCTATGGTAGTTATCGACTCAAGTTTCACTCCTTTATAGGGGCTTTAGATACCCTATTTAAAATTGTTCATGTTTTTAATTTAAAGTATTCAGAAGAATCTTATTGGGTATGGAATCTTATTTTGACATAAATTGTCCAAGAGACAAAATGAGTCACTCAGTGACAAATTTGATGCATTACCTTAAGAAACCTTTAAAAACAAAAAAAAAAAACGAATTTCACTCAGACTTTTGAAAGTTCTGTACAATTTTTAAGTTTTACGAATTCATTAATTTTTTATATTTACTTTTTTTATTATTTCTTATAAACATACTTATTAAATAAGAAAACAAACACATTTAAAAACATAGCAAAATGAAATTCTTTAAATGCTTTAAATACTTTAATGAAAATATTTGTTACTTTCCACACCTGAAAGTCTTCCACGGAATGATGAAAATAAAACAGTTTAAGTGCACTCAAAAAAAAGCCGAGTTTTTTAAGGAATTTTTAAGTTTTAAAAAATTTAAAGAGCATAAAAACCATACACAAAAAATTAAAAATTCATTAAAAAAATCAATTTCAAAACAATGTATTGTTTTTAATGACAAAAATGATAAGAAAAATTTTTCCGATGACCATAACTTTAGTGAAGGAAACATAGTTTTTGAAAACCCGAACGAAGGTAATGTAAATATCGACGAATGAACTTTTTTAATGTTTCAATCACAAATTACTTAAGTTTGTCAAAAAATTTTACTTGAGTTACATTCCACAAAAACTTTTTGTCGAAAAGATGTACTCACCACTCAGGAAAAAATTCAAACTGTAACAACGACTATAGCTAATGCTCTAAGACATGTATTTTTAAAAAGTGTTCCAGACACTGTTAAGCAACCAGTTGAAAATTTTATTTCTTTTTGTTCAAACCCTTTTCAAAATATTGGCACAGAGTATAGACGGTTTAAAAACCTTTTAAGCAAAAGTACCTTTGCTAAGCCTATTACTTTAAACGTCAATAATGAAATAACAGAAGTTATTAAGACGAATAGACCTACGTTAGATGAGGCTAAAGTAAAAGGATGCAATATGCCTATTAAATACCAAACCAAGACTTTCTTTGAACTTCCTTACGTGCTTGACCAAGCTTTAGACAATATGGAAAGGCTAAGCAAATCCACCAACACAAAAAACTTCGCCAATTCTAGTAGTTTTTTAGCTCTAAAACGTAATTTTCAACACAAAATTGTAATTCCCGTTCTTATACCCGTTACTCGTAGAGTAAAAGGGTATACTAGATTCGTCGAAAAGTATGTAACGGGCAGAAGGAAGCGTTTCCGACCCCATAAAGTATATATATTCTTGATCAGGATCAGTAGCCGAGTCGATCTAGCCATGTCCGTCTGTCCGTCTGTCTGTCTGTCCGGATGAACGCTGAGATCTCGGAAACAACAAGAGCTAGGCTATTGATATTTGGCATGCAGATTCCTGAGCTTCTAACGCAGCGCAGGTTTGTTTCAGCAATGTGCCACGCCCACTCTAACGCCCACAAACCGCCCAAAACTGTGGCTCCTACAGTTTTGATGCTAGAATAAAAATTTTAGCTGATATGTATTGTTCTCATCAATACCTATCCATTAACCCAAAAGTTAGCCACGCCCTCTTTAACGCCCACAAACTTCAAAAAATCTTAAATTTGAACGTGGATATCTCGGAAACTATCAAAGATAGAGAATGGGGATATCAGATTTAGATTCTGTAGCCTTGTACGCAGCGCAAGTTTGTTACGCGAATATGGCACGCCCACACTAACGCCCAAAAACCGCCCAAGCCTGTGGCGCCCACAATTTTTATTTTAGATACAGCATTTTAACTGAAATGTATAGGCCTCGTCAATACCTATCGATTGATCAAAAAAAAAATTTCCATGCCTACTCAAACGCCCATAACGCTTAAATCTGTTCACCGCCGATAGGTGGCGCATTTCAATCTCGCTTTGTTACTTGCATATCTCCATTTCCCTTTGTTCCTTTTAGGTGAGTAACGGGTATCTGATAGTCGAGGTACTCGACTATAGCGTTCTTCCTTATTTTTTACTAAAATGTATTGTTTTTATCAATACCTATCGATTGACCCAAAAAAAATGTTAAAAAACACCGAAGCTTTAATTTGTTTTATATTATTTTCCGACCAATTTTCCGATCGTTCCAATGGCAGCAATATGATATAGTCGTCCGCTTTTAAAAGAATTAAATTCAAAATTAATTAAAAAATGTTATTTCCAAGCGTAGGAGGTTATATGTTAAGGAACACCGAAGCTATAATTTGTTTCATACTATTTTCCCATCAATTTTACGATCGTTCCTATGGCAGCTATATGATATGGTCTTCCGATTATGATAAAATTAAATTCGAAATTCAAAACTAATTAAAAAATGTTATTTCCAAGGAAAGGAGGTAATATGTTAAAAAACACCAAAGATATAATTTTTTACATTTTTTTCCGATTATTCCTATTAATCCTATGGATTTCAGACCGATAACTGAGAGACTAGTTTGCGTAGAAACGGGCGGACAGACGGACAGACGGACATGGCTAGATCGACTCGTCTAGTGATGCTGATCAAGAATATATATACTTTATGGGAAACGTCGGAAACGTCTCCTTCACTGCGTTGCAAACTTCTGATTGATATCATTATACCCTCTGCAAGGGTATAAAAACGGCAACAACAAGAAATCGACCTACGATCCAGCGAGATGCATGTGCAAAAATTAACGAATGTCTCAAACGTAAACTTGGCAACGTTTCAATCACAGCAAAACTATAACTACCCAACTTAACCACACAACATGCACTTTGCTACGTCACAGCGAAATGTTATCCACCCGACTCAGCCACACACCGTGCAGTTTTCTACGTCACAAAAATTTGCAGACTGTGCTACATCACAGCCAAACGTAAACATCCCGGTCACTTAGTCAAACTTTGGAAATTTTGTAACTTCGGCAAACGAATTTAATCAATACAGTACTTTTCCAATACATCAACCGATGTATAACGAGTATCTGTATGCTCGTACTGGCTTCTGGTAAATCCTTGAACTCACACCAATTTGTAAAGCGTGTTAACTCCCTTCGTAACGCTTATCGTTGGGATGATCGTAAGGTAATATTTGCAGTTCAACAAAAGATGCTGGGTGCTGCTCGTTGTTGGGTAGACTCTACGGATCAAATATTTCAAACATGGCCCCAGTTTACTGCAAGATTTTTAAATGACTTTCCATGTTTTAGCAATCCGGCACACGTTCACCTTAAGATGTCAAAAACGCATAGAGATTCCACCGAGTCACCGGCTGATTATTTCTACAAGATGCTAGCCTTAGGTAAAAGGGGTGAGCTACCAGATTCAGCAATTTGCACACACATTATCAACGGGATTAACGACTACGATTTAAAGAGAAAGGTATCCAACAGTTATGTTTCGTGTAACGAACTTCTACGCGATATTCTTGCATACTCAGCGCATAATATCATAAAGCATAACGCCAGTCAAATGTCAAACAAACGGGATCTTAACGTCAGCGTTCATAAGCCGAATTCATCCTTTGTTACAAAACGTCCTTTTAACGATAAGGTCGAAGTATTGGTTAAATGCTACAATTGTCAGAAGGTTGGACATTATTCTTCGAAATGTCCTGAGTCCCAGCGCGAGTCTCGTTGCACGCACTGCAATCGCATAGCACACGATTCTGCCAGCTGCCCTGATAGCACAAAAACAGTGCCAAAAATTAATTAAATTGACTCTGATTCTGATTCGGAAATCTCCAAATTGATCTCGGTAAACGGCAATGAAACCGTCGCATTCGTAGATCCAGGCAGTACGCGAACGCTAATTCGAAAGTCATTCGCCGAAAACGTAGGTGTTTTACAACGATGTGCTGTTACTCTGAACGGATTTGGTGGTGGGAAATTCCTTTGCACACAGAAACTTTTCGTGAAAATTGTGATTGACGATTCTGTTTACGAAGTTGAAGTTTTGGTCGTAGAAGATAAACTAATAACTGAAAATGTACTTTTGGGTAAGGATATCCTTTGTCGCGATGGAAACAAATTGATCACTCTCGGTAACGAGTGTTACGTAGTGAATATTCGAACGGATAAACGGATTGATATTGTAAAACGCTTCTTGCTTTGCGGAGAAAGCTAATGAGCTCGGTAAATGTCCTCTAACTAAAATGGAAATAACATTAACATCAAACGTTCCGTGCTACCCTAAGCCCTACCGTACGCCTTTTGCACTTAGACCTGTCGTCGGTAATATTATCTCCGAGTTACTCGATAGTGATATTATTCGTCCTTCGGACTCTTCTTATGCATCTGGAATTGTCGTCGTTGAAAAACAGTATTGCCGTCAAAATGCCGTTTCCAATGCCAAATCTGAAGGAACAATTTGCCCAATTAGCCGGGAATGCATATTTTTCTCAGCTGGACTTGCGTATGCGATATCATCAAGTCGCGGTTTGCGAATTATCCAACAATTCACAGCATTTGTAACTTCAGACGGCCAATACGAATATAACAGGATGCCGTTCGGTCTCGTCAATGCCCCAGCAGTTTTTCAAGCGGTCTTGAACAAAATAGTCAAACGTATGGAGCCAGGTGAGGTACTCGCATATTTAGATGACGTCATAGTTCCCAGCAAAACGTTTGATGAGGGTATCCAACGACTCGAAAAATTCTTTCGAATTCTTAAAGAGAGCAGTTTAACACTTCGCTATGACAAATGAAAGTTTCTTCAATCAGAAATAACTTTCTTGGGCCATATTGTCACAAAAACGTCGCCGCTGTAAAACGTTCAAAGCGGGAACGAAGGCACAAAGAGGAAACCAAAAATATACCGCTTGCGCTTATGTACATGGAACGAAAATATCTAAAAAAAATTTGTTTGGTAGCACTCTAGTTATACCCGTTACTCGTAGAGTAAAAGGGTATATATGAATGTTACTCGTAGAGTAAAGGGGTATGTATGTATGTATATATATTCTTGATCAGGATCACTAGCCGAGTCGATCAAGCCATGTCTGTCTGTCCGTTTGACCGTCTGTCCGTCCGGATGAACGCTGAGATCTCGGAAACTATAAGAGCTAGGCTATCGAGATTTGACTTGCAGATTCCTGAGCTT